TTGAACAAGGACCAAATGTGTGTGGTTGCATTCATCACACACGCAGCCAACACAAAAGATTTTGTTTTGGCCAGTATTCGAACAGGAGCTGCTTTCTTAATACAGTGGTACCTCTTGTTACAAACACCTCGGATTACAAACACTTCAGGTTACAGACTCCGCTAACCCGGAAGTAGTACCTTGGGTTAAGAACTTTACCTCAGGATGAAAAGAGAAATCGTGTGGCGGTGGCAGCGGGAGGCCCCATTAGCTAAAGTGGTACCTCAGGTTAAGAACGGTTTCAGGTTCAGAACGGACCTCCGGAACGAATTAAGTTCGTAACTGTACTTTTAATTTGAATAATGGTAATTGGGTCAACAAAAATGCCACAGACATCACAGAAACGCACGAGCAGGCACAAACTATAAGCAGCTCTTAAATGAAATGTTTCTGGACATTAGACATACAAGCCCAAAGTATTTTATCTGCTGGTTTTCATGCGAAAAAGGTGGGCAGATATAAACACATACAAATGCATAGATCTCACTCATAACCACCACAGGCTACACTGCTGTTGAGCACAAAATGTTCTACTACTCCTGCTTTCCAGGCTACCACGAAGGCTATTTCTTCCTCGAGCCAGGAATACAGTGACTGATTTATGATGAAGGAACAGCCATGAATGACAAACGACAATGAATCTTAGGAGAGCTTTACGATTAATTGTTCACATCCCTCCCCTGCTCTTCTTTAACTTTTTTTCTAAAACAGTTGGGTGTTTTTTTTTACATTAAGCTTTTTATTAATGCAAAATCGAAAAGTACAGAGAGACTATCATCAGAGTTGCAAAACATAAAAGCAGTACAGAGATTGTATTTTCCAAATAGATAAGGGAGCAGATATTGCAGAAAAATAAAAGCAAAGCACACAATGAGAGCCAAACTGCGATTTGGAGTTTTGCATATCTGAATTCGGCACATAAGGAATGAAGTGCTACCAAACACTCTTAGAAAAGCAGACTATAATTTTGCACATCTTTACCCTGCCCTCCTTTCAAAAGGAAACCAGAGGGGAATACAAGAGGGACAGAGCCTAAGGCTAATTAGGGAGAGGCCATAACTCAGTGGCAGAGTGCATGCTTTGCCAACTTTAATCTCTGGCACCTCCAGACAGGGCTAAAAAGAGTGTCGCCAGATCTTGCTGGAAGCTGCCACTTCTCCTTGCTTCCATGACGTCTGTGAGATTCTGCTGCCCAAGGTGGCTGCCTCAGTCCACCTGATGGGCTGGCCGGCCCTGTTATCAGCACAACACAGATGTGCACTCTCATGGATGCTATTGTCTGTTTTATGTGAGCCTAAGTGCTCACATAAGTGCTCCTGGCATGCCCCGTGGAGGACCTTAAGGTCCACAAATGACAACACTTTGGAGGTCCCAGGTCGCAAGGTGGTTAGATTGGTCTCAACTAGGGCCAGGGGCTTTTCAGTACTGGCCCCGACTTGGTGGAACGCTCTGTTACAAGAGACTAGGGCCCTGCAGGACTTGACATCTTTCCTCAGGGCCTGCAAGACAGAGCTGTTCCGCCTGGCCTTTGGTTTGGACTCAGTCTGACCCTTATGTTTCCCTCCCCTTATGGTTTTGATCTATGGGCTACTTTTAAAATGAGGCTGCATTTTAAATTGTATTTTAACCTGTATTTTAATTGGGTTTTCCCCCCTTCTATTATGTTTTTATTGTAATTTTACTGGTGTTAGCCGCCCTGAGCCTGGCTCTGGCCGGGGAGGGCAGGGTATAAATAATAATAATAATAATAATAATAATTATTATTATTATTATTATTATTATTATTATTATTACTGCGCACCCCAGTCACACCTTGACCACATTCCTGACACACAGTCCAGTTCCCTGTAGGATAGTCAATGACCACATCTCTCCTGTTTCCATAGAAATCCTTTGTCCCACAGCAGTCCCTCCTGTTTCCTTCCAGAGATAAGCAGCACAACTTTATACAGCAGACATTGTATTAGAACGTACTAAATGAGAGGTAGCCAATGTTAATAATAATAATAATAATTTATTTGTATCCTGCCCATCTGATTGGGTTGCCCCAGCAAATTATTACATTGCAAGTGTCAGTACTAATGTTCTATACCAACATATGGGAACTCCAGATGCTGTTGAGACTACAAATCCCATCACCCCGACCGTTGACCTGTGGGTGATGGGATTTGGAGTCCAGCAACATTTGGAGGGCCACATTCCCTCCCCCCCCCTTACAAAAGAATAATGTTTGTTCACAATTAAAACAAATGACTGCCCTATCCTTGATTTCTAAAATACATTTTTTTAAGTCATCATCATTAGTATTTTTTTCAGTGCAATAGAACAGATCGTCTTCCTCTGATGTATAGAGTCTTGTGATCCTCCTTCTATTTTTCTCCTTTACAGACACTGCAAATACTAATGGTGAAATCAGTGTCATATTATGGGCTTGTCAGAAAGTCAGACACTGGCCTGTTAGACGACAAGAAGTGACGTTTTCCATAATTTAATCCACACATGACTCAAAATGTTATCCCCTCCCCAGTTCACTACCACTTTGTCTCGGTTTCCAAAATGTAAGCAGAAGGAGGGGGAGGTGAAGTAAGGAGCTCTCGGGAAAACAGAGGGATTCAAATTCAGAGAAAGCCACAAAGGGTAGACCAATTATTGCACTCCTCTACTTCAGTCTTGACAAAGAGTTGGCAGTGTCTGTGTTAATGCCAGATTTATAGAAGACTTCCCAAGCCTTTAATATGTCTCAGTAAGGTGGAAACAGTCCAACAAAAGTTTGCCATGACTGAACCAAGCACAGTTTTAAATCAATAGAACTTAAGTTAATGCATCTAAGCTCCATTCTGCTGCTGGATCGTGACTTACCTTTTGCTGGATTGGGCCCCAGTGTAATGCTCTGCATGCATGTAAACCCTTTGTACTGTACATAAGGTGGTTCAAAACATTGAGTGATGTGCCCGTAATTTGATGGTCATATTGTCCATTGGAATGCATGTTGCCATTATACTATTTCCTGCCAGGGACGATACTATGTGTTTGCTACATAATTCATTTTTGCTGCTTCGGAACCATATTGCAAATGTGACTTTTCTTCCCTTGATGGTATTATCTTGATTGAGCTATGTCTTATTTGGTCCCAAACCTTTCCAAAAGTCAATCGGCATCATTCTCCCTGACGTCATTGGGCTTTGGGCCGGATCGTACATGATCATATCCTTAATTGTACAGTATTATTTTGCATGCCCGATTAAACATGTTGTGTTGCTTATGATCCTCTTTACAGTCCATGAAAAAATGTAGATTTTTGTAGACAATAAGATGTGGGAGGTGGCAATATACTGTATACTGGGAAAATGAAAGCAAGGGTTAAATCAATGCAACTCTAAATTAGGACTGGAGGGACAGGGATGCTTCCCTTTCTCCCATCTTGCATTTCAAGTAATATGTGAAATAGAAGCTGGTGACTAATTTGTTCCTCTTACAAAAGGGGGGAAAGATTGTGCAAATCAGCACCATGTGTATCCATCTCACCTATTGCTTTAAGTCAGCCTTCCCCATCCTGGTGCATTCCAGATGTTTTGAACTACAATTCCCATCATCCCTTTCCATTGGCTATGCTGGCTGGGGGCTGATGGGAATTGGAGTCCAGCAACGTTTTGAGGGTTGTGGAAGGCTGTTTTAGGTGCAAGGTGCGTATAGGGGTCTGTTCCTCCACCACAGGACTTGGAACACTGACTGGATAGAATGCCTATGCCATGGCTATTACCACGAGCCTTCCAGCATGTCTTTGTTTTCTAATCAGTGGTGTCTTGGCCTCCAGCCCAGATTATATTTAACTTTTAGATTGAGAGTCATTGATATGGTGAAGTTGGACTACAGGTCCCAGAATCCCTGGCCATTGGTCAATATGGCTGGGGCCAATGGGAGTTGGAGTTCCAACATTATCTGTATAGAGCCATGCTGACTATCACTGCTGTAGACATTTGAGGAACAATACTGTCCCTGTTGAAGATTATGTTAAGGTTTGGATTATGAGTCTTGCCTTCAGCCACAATGAACTAGTTTAAGCAGTTATGTAAATTGGGCTGCTTATGATGGTAGGACTTATATCATTTCATTAATTAGTCTAAAAAACACCTGGAGGATGGCTGCTCCATCTTAGACCTTTGAGGACCAATGCTACTCAGCACACTACTAACCAGGAGGTAGCTGACAATAAATATTTTTTAAAATAGCCAATCTCTCCAAAGGACTTGTGAATCCTATATATGTCCACTTAGAAGTAAGTCTGATTGAGTTCAATGGGATTTACTCCCAAGTAAGTATGTATAGGGTTGCAGCTTGATAACCGTGTATAAAGTAACATGCTTCTGACTAGCTGAATAAACTAGGAAGCAGGCCGCATTTGGCACCAGCTGTACTCCAGGCTTGAGCCAGAGGCTTCGCTATTGCTCTTTCTGCTCCAGCTCAGCCAAACACTGTACGTATGGGTACCGTGGCTTGCATTCTGCCACTGCAGTTGGCCATTTTCCCCCACTCAGCTGTAGGAAGCAGAACTCCTGTTGTGCTTCTGAGTAATTTCTCGTTTCCTTGGAGCTGTTAAAAAGCATGGGTGTCCCTGGGTCAGGAGCTGGCAACTTGATTTTCCATCAGTCATCAAAAGCAGCCAACACAATGTACACACAGTATTATGGGCATGGTGTTACCTAGTCTTTACTAGGCTGTGTTCATTCAGTGACTTCATCATACAGTTTAGATGTTCTTTGGTTGAAGGATCCTAGATGAATCCATTGAAACGTATTCTACTAGTTTAACATCGTTCTTGCTAAAGACATTGAATGTCATTCTGCTTTTCTGTAAGAGTCCCAGCCTAACTCAGGATAGTGGGTGTAGAGTAGCAACTCTGGAGTTGTGACTTAAAGCAGAACCCCTGCAATAACTGTGTTCTTTCTTCTCATTCGTCGAAGGTGGTGGTCAATGCTTTGGTAGGCGCCATCCCTTCTATCATGAACGTCCTGCTTGTCTGCCTTATCTTCTGGCTCATCTTCAGCATCATGGGAGTCAACTTGTTTTCTGGGAAGTTTGGGAAATGCATTAACAACACGATAGGTGATGACCCTATGAACCAAACATTGGTCAACAACAAGAGCGATTGCCAAAACTTGAATGAGACTGGAGAGCTGTACTGGACAAAAGTGAGGGTCAACTTTGATAATGTTGGCGCAGGCTACCTGGCTCTGCTGCAGGTGGTAAGTTCACTACTACTTATCCATGTTGTTATTAGGCAATCACACTGACCGAAGGGATCTTAAGTCAATGTATTTATTTAGTAATAAATTCATTTATACATCCCTCTTAATTTAAACACACACACCCCACACAGAGTGGTTCACAAATGGTCAAATGTATAACACAGCAAAGCAAAACCGTAAGACCATCTTCAGCCTTAACAGAGTAGCAAGTCAATAATCATGTAGACTGTTTGATGAACCAGGCACTCCCAAGCCTATTTGGCAATAACCACAGGCAAGGCCAGGGCATTAGAGAAGAGGTACATTTTTAGCACTCAATGAAGCTGGAGTAGACATTATGACTGGAACACTATGATCTGTAGATGATTGAGTGATTGAATCAATTTGCATAAATTTGCCTTTTGGGGAGGGCAACCCAATAGTTCTGAAGCAGGGATGGAGAACCTGTAGCCCTCCAAGGGTTGTTGAAGTCCCATGAGCTTCAATCAACATGGCCAGTGGTCAGGAATGGTAGCAGCTGTTAGCCAGCAACATCTGGAGGACCACGGGTTCTCTGCCCCATCCTTACTGGAATGCCTTTTCTAAGAATATGTATGGCACTTGAAGCTTAGACAGACAGATAGTTCTGTTGGTCAATTAATTGGAGGAATCCATTTAGCCAGTCGAAACAGTTTGAACTGATTAATCTAACCAATGAACTGTCTAAATCTTCCATGTTGTTATGCCAATATGCCTGTTATTGGGGTATGGTTGCACATCAATTAATTTAAGGAATTTATAAGCTACCCTTCAACACAAACAATGCAATAACAGTTAATAAACTTCAAACAGGAAGCAACAGCATTGATCCGATAAAGGAGTCTGAATCATAAAAGTGTGGAAAATAGGATGTCCAGGGTAGAGTTCAGACAAATCTGAGGCAAGAAACAGTGGGTTAGAATAGCTTGAGTGAAAATCTTTTGAGGGGTCTTTCTCATACCTCCACTTCAGCCCCCCAGTTGATTCCCGAGATCTGAGGGACCCTCTGGAATAGCATGAGTTGTACATAGGAAGCTCCTTCATACTGAGTCAGGCTGTTGGCTTACACTGAGTGGAAGTGGTTCTCCAGGTTTTCAGGCAAGGGTCTCTATCCCAGCCATACCTGGAGATGCTAGGGTTGAACCTGGGACCTTCTGCAGGCAAAGGATGAGCTACATCCCTTCCCCAAAGGAAGACTGCAGAGGGAGGTGGAAATCAGCAGAGAGAAGGGGGGAGGGGCTTGTGTGAGTGGTTGCTCTTCATAGATGACATCCCACAATGAAATAGCTTTCCAGTGGGTGCAAGAGGTTGCAGTGGTCAGGGAAAGTCGTGTAACTGAATTTCCACTTGCACTACTACTGATCCAGGACATTCCTCCCCTCGAACAAGTTCTCTAAATCAATAACCAGCCAGATGCCCCTGGGAAAGATGGAGGTAGCCAATCCCTGTTATATGCCCCCATCAGCAGGAACAGAGAACTATACCGCTGCTGATCATGGAGGTTTGGTTTCCCTAATATGGCTAATAGCTGTGGATATACTTCTCCACTGTGCCTTTATCTAACCCCTTTAAGGGGAAGGAAAAGGCCTTCTCAGCTAGTGACTTCCAGCACACAGGAATCGGCCTTGTATCATATCTGTCCATTGTTCCACCTGGCTCAGATGTTCTGGAGTACAACTCCCATCAGATAGGTTGGAGAGCACATGAGACAGAGCCATCTTGGTGGTGGTCCTGCTTGGTGGTGGCTGGGGAAACCCAGCTAGATGGGCAGTGTATAAATAGTATAGTAGTAGTAGTAGTAGTAGTTATGGAACTAACTCTCTTCCATTTAATATTCACTCAGCCTCTTCAGGCATTCAAGGCATTAAAATATGTTTACTATTGCATAATAGAGTTTAGCATATCAGAATCAGGCACCTATTTCTCCATATCTGCAAAATGCTTCATATTCGGCTTATTTAAGCTTCTGTTGTTTTTATCCTTCTTTGTGTGCCACTGTGCCATGATGGCTCGGCCCTGGAAAGCAACTAGTAAATATCTGGTATTAATAAAAAAAATAGTTCATGAGTACAGTCAGACACTGGTCCAGGACTGAGATGGCTAGTCAGGGTCAGGAGAAAAGTGGTGCAAGTCGTTTCTTAATTTGGTGGAGGGAAGGTGGTTTAAGGCAAATATGTCACCACCTGTTCTGCTACCTGTTCAAATGCCTCCCCAAGTTTTTTACATGCTTTGCTCTTATATGACCTTTGCACTCTTCAGTGAACACCGAGCAAAGAATGTTGATGAGCCTATGCTGGAAGCTGTTGTGCCCTTCCAGACATCTCTGAGCATTCAGATCACAGCCTGACTTACTTCCTACTTTGTTAGCCAATGTTAAGCCAGTGTCCCCCAGTTTGGGCATAATGGGGCACTCTGGCTTAATGCAGACCAGAAGTGGTGCAGAAGTTGGTGTGTAATGGGAGAAATGGGAGAGAGGTTGAAGGAAGATGACTCAAGGAGCAAGACTCAGCCTCTACACTTTTTCCTGATTTATGAATCCAGAAATGATGAGTCAATCCAGGCCTGAATGTGTGTAGTAGGGGAGTTCCTACTTTCAGAAGAGAGAATTAGATTGGAGGCCCCCGTCTTCACTCCTCACACCTGGTGAACCAGATGCGCTTATTAGCTTGCATGTTGAAGACTGCAGAGCAAATATATCCCTGCTTTTTCCTGTTTCTACCCTGAAAGCAAAGCTTGCAAATGTGTGGCTTTTTATACCGATAGAAACAGTCTCGTTTGAAAAAAAAAGGGAGCATTGTGTGCTGTGTTGCAGTTTCTTAACTTTCCGCTAAATTTACTAGGGCATTTCATAGATCGATGTCATGACGCACCAAATATTTCTAGACTCTGCACAATTTGAGAGCCAACCTTTCTGTTTGTTTTTCCCTACTTGCAATTAGTAATATTCAGACAGGGGACTTAAAATAGCAAAGAGCACTCTAAAACGAAAGAGGAAGCAAAATTTGACACATGAATTTGGGAGGGCCTGCGATGGATCACTGTTTTGTGTCCCCATTAGTACTAGATGGAATTGTGGGGGGGCCACAGGCCTTCTTGATGGGGAGCAATCTGCCCCCCCCCAGCATTCAGTCTAATGCATGCTATCACTGCAATCCTGCACACACTTATCACAGAACCATAGAATTGTAGGGTTGGAAGGGGACCATAAGGGCATCTTGTCCAAAGTAGGAATTGCAGCTATATAATCACTGCCAGGTGGCCATCCAAGCTCTGTTTATAAATCTCAACTGAGGCAGAGTCCACCACCACCTACGGCAGTCCATACCACTGTTGAACAGCTCCTACCATCATACGGTTTTTCCTAATGTTTAGTTGGAAGCTCTGCTTATTAGGAGGCGAGTCTCACTAAACTCAGCAGGACTTACTTAGATAGATAGATAGATAGATAGATAGATAGATAAATTTATTGTCATTGTCCGTATATACACAGTATACACAACAACGAAAATCAAACACCCACCCAAAGACCGGGTTCACATACACATTTGCACGTATCTCCAACACTCTCATCCTATTCAGACATAATCTATAAAAACATAACATAATCCAGAATATAACATAACCTATTAAAGGCATAACATAACCTAAAACCTATCTCATTCCTTCCTACTCCCTGCTTGCTATTTCTTGCAACTGGCCCTGAGATCATTATTTAGTGCAATCAGAGCTCTTGGATAGAAACTATTCAGAAGGCGTGTGGTTCGTGTTTTCATTGTCCTATATCTTCTGCCCGAAGGCAACAGTTCAAAAAAGTTGTGAGCGGGATGGGTGGGATCTCTCAGGATATTGTGTGACTTCTTCAAAGTGCGAGACGTGAAGATCTCATCCAGGGTTGGTAGTTGGAGCCCAATAACATTCTGGGCAATTTTAATTATTCTCTGTAAAGCTTTTTTATCCGTTTCAGAGCTGCTCCCATACCACGATAATATACTATAGGTTAAGACACTCTCGATGGTACTGTGATAATAGGACAGAAGTAGGTGCTGAGATAGATTCAGTCCCCTGAGCATTCTCAGGAAATACAACCTCCCCTGCACCTTCCTCACAACCATATTAATATTTGCAGTCCATGAGAGGTCCTCAGAGATATAAATGCCCAGGTATTTAAAACTACCAACCCTCTCCACCTCCTCGCCATTTATGTGCAATGGTAAAAATACACTTTTCTTTCTCCTAAAGTCAATTATGAGTTCTTTGGTTTTTTTGGTGTTAAGCATAAGATTGTTTTCCTTACACCATTGAATTAACCCCTGTACTTCTTTCCTATAAGCAGTCTCATCGTTCTCACTAATGAGCCCCACCACTGTTGTATCATCCGCAAATTTGATGATTGTGTTGGACTTATACAGTGGGGTGCAATCACATGTGTACAGGGAATAGAGAAAGGGACTTAGCACACATCCCTGAGGGGCTCCTGTGCTTAATACTAGAGTAGAAGAATAGTAAGGTCCCATTCTCACTGTCTGCGGCCTATCAGTCAGGAAATTCCTTACCCACAGACAGATCTTCTGATGTATACCCAAATTGGTCATTTTAAGAAATAACCTGTCTGGCAGAATTGTATTGAAGGCAGAACTGTAGTCCACAAACAACAGCCTTGCGTAGGTTCCCTGTCGTTCTAGATGACTCAGTACAGTATGGACAGCGATGGAAATAGCATCATCAGTAGATCTGTTTCTTCTGTATGCAAACTGGAACGGGTCTAGAGTGGATGGAAGACCAGCCTTAATATGATCTAGCACCAATCTCTCAAAACATTTCATAACGACAGATGTTAGGGCTATTGGTCTATAGTCATTGAGAGATACCACCACTGACTGCTTGGGGACTGGCACTATAATCGATGTCTTCAGGCAGGTAGGGACAGAACCCTGCAGCAGGGATAGGTTAAAAATGTCCGTAAATACACCAGCTAATTCTGCAGCGCAGTCCCTAATAACCCGTCCCATGATTCCATCCGGTCCAGCTGCCTTCCTAATGTTAATGCTCCGAAAGGCACGTTGTACGTCACAGGTCTGTAATAAAAATGGTTGTCTATCAGTAGTAGTTTCTGATGATGTGCTGGTAGCCAATGCTGTAGTGACGGTAGTTCCAGTTCCCTCCTCAAAGCGACTAAAAAATTGATTCAGTTGATCAGCCAGGTGCGCACTGCTGCTAGCCAGTTCGTTTTTAATATTTTGCCCTGTAATTTGTCGCAGGCCTTGCCATACTCGACGAGGGTCGGAGCTCTCAAAATGTTTTTCGATCCTCCGGCAGTACATAGCTTTGGCGTTCCTAATGCCCTTTTTCAATTTGGCTCTGGCTTCTCTATACTGTTGCGCATCACCAGAGTGAAAAGCAGCATTTCTTGCCTTTAACAGAAGATACACATCCCTGTTTAGCCAGGGCTTGTTGTTAGGGAACACCCGTATTTGTTTGGTGGTAGTGACAACATCAATGCAGCTTTTAACGTAGAACAGTACTGTTGAAGCGTATGTGTCCACATTATTCTCCACAAAAAGCGACCACTCGGTGCTCCGAAAGCAATCTTGAAGTTGCTCAGATGCACCTACTGGCCACACTCGTATCTCTCTAGTTGATGGTCTAATTCTGCGTACGAGAGGTCTATATGATGGTATCATAAGTAAAGATATGTGGTCTGACTGCCCCAAATTGGGCAAGGGCTTGGTCTTGTATTCATGCATGATGTTACTATATACTCGGTCCAGGGTATTTCCCCCCCTAGTGGGACAATCAACATACTGGTGGAACTTAGGGAGCACAGTCCTTAAATCGGCTCGGTTAAAATCACCAGCAACCACAAATGCTCCATCCGGGTGGGCCCGCTGCTGTCTGCTAATAGCAGTTAGCAGGTGGCCCATAGCTGTAGTAGTGTTTGCATCGGGAGGTATATACACCGCTGCTATTATAACAACATTAAACTCACGTGGCAAATAAAAAGGGCGGCACTTCACCACTAGGTACTCCAAGTCAGGAGAGCAATGCGTGAGCTACTTCCAAGTAAACATGCTCAGGATACAATGCTCTGTGTCTTTTGAACATGCTCCAGCCTCCCCAAGGCTGCGTACACACAGTAGTTTGTTAAGCAGGTTGGGAGTTGTTGCTCTATAAAAGGCGAACTACAGTTCCCAGGACTCTCTGGGGGAAGTCATGTGCTTCAAATGTCCTTTAAATACATGGCGTGTTTGTAGGCTAAGTGAGGAATGGCTGTTCTTTGTATCTGTGATACAGCACTGCAGGCTGAGTATAACCTTGCACCTGCTATTAAGGCCTGATCCTGCTTCTCCCTTGGTGGTCACCATGCCACTAAGTTGTTCTCTATATGATGTAGCCCCCTGCACAACGACACATCTCCTTGCTCGCCTGCCCACTTCACAGGATGCAGAAAGGAGATTGGAAAGAGCATTTTGGGTTCAGCCCTCCCAGTTCAACTTCCTTGGGAAACGTTGGCTTTCTTTCTTCTTCATCCTCCAAGGAGACAGGGTTGCTTCGAAAGTGTGTGGGTGATGATGCCTAATGAAATTCCAGAAGTCAGAGAGGGGGCTGAGCAGGATTTCCTGTGGACATATGAAGCTGCCTTATGCTGACGCAGACCATTGGCTGGGACATGTAGCCCAGTACTGTGTGCTCAAACTGGCAGCTGCTTAGGCATATAGGTCTTGCTCAGCTCTGCTGCGTGAAGAACCTTTTATTCAAGGGGGGGGGGCTTCTTAAGACCAGGGATTGCTTTCCCCCAGGAGAAGCTTCTTGGGGGCCCTATGCTGGTGGCAGGCGAAGGCCAGAGGCAAAAGCAGGCAGAGGAATAGATGTGACTCTTGTCTTTATACAGTATGATCTTGCAAAAATCAGAGGTTTTTGCAAAAGCATTTGAGCAGGGCTGGTGAGAGTGTGGCACAGGGAGTGGAGGTGCTGTCTGGAAAGAGTGCTAAGGGCCAGGTAGAAAAGCCTAGGGGGCCACGTTCAGGCTGTGGGCCCAAGGCTCCCCACCCCTGCTTTAATGAAGGGACCAGAGGTTGAGCTGGCCTCTCATGCCTGCAAAGCAGATGCTGTACCACTGAGCTACAGCCTCGCTGTTAGGCAAGAGACCAGACCAGATTGCAGTGCATAGGAGCCAGAAATTATTCCCCATTGCACTGGGACAGACATAGTCCCAGACCATACTATTTCTCAGCTTTCCCAAACACTGTTATTGGCATTGGAGGTAAAGTTCACAAGAGCTGAGCTTGCTGTATCAAAGTTAGAGATAGCGGAGATCTAAGGTTTTGCAACCAGCTTTGGTAAGTGGTGGTGATAACATAGTAGACAAGGGGGTTGTTTGTTTCCTACACAGGCAGGTACAACCGCCAGCCCCATGGGGTGATTTAGGCTTGCCCACTCCCATAGCTGGCCCATTGGCCTCCTGGGCCAAAGCATAACTTGACCCCTTTCAGGCACAGACTTGAGATCACTGCCTTCCTCTGTTGCTTATCTGGTCTTGTTTTAGTTTGATTCAGAGTTAGCCACAGTCTGATGGCACAAGCCTTCTATGCAATAGCCTAATCATCAGCTGTAAGCGTGACCCCAAGATGAATTTATCAGCAGTTAAGTCTCATCCCAACACACACACACACACACACACCAGCCCATAACTAATTTCAATAGCAGACAGTATTTTAGCTGGACCTATGCCATGCAGGACAATATCACACAACACTCCCATAAAGATCTTACCACCTTCAGATCTGGTCTGTAAGTGGTTACTAATTCCCCCGTAATTTTATTTCCCTCCCAGTGACGTTTCCCACCCCTGCCTTTCACGATATCACCACTTCTTTGCAGAAGTGTCTTGCGAAGGATTCCAGAAGCCTAACTGAGCTCTGGATTATCTTACTACTAGGCTCCTCAGGAGTTGTGGGGGGGGGGAGGGGAGCTGGATGGGACAAAACAGCTTTATAATTGACAGCTCTGCCATCCAATAATGCCTTATTACCATCCAGATCAGCTCATGAACTGCAATTGCGAAGTTCAGCAATTGTCGGGTTCTTTTTCAGTGCTAAACGCCCCGTTTATAGTCCAGCTGGAATCTTGGCCAAATCATGCCCCCAGATGGGAATGCCACGCAGAGATGGAAGATTGCTTTGCCAATGGGAGAGAGCTGTGAGGAAAGATTAGAGCAATTTGGAGAGCGAGTGCTCCACAGAGCAGGCAGTTCAACCTCTTTCTCCTCCTCCTCACCTCTTTTGGGCAGGAGAGCCGGCTTTTAAGTGGGAAGGGACTAGAAGAGGCTCAGGTTGCCACCCGCAGGATTACGGAAACATTGGGAAGCAGCTATTAAACCACCTGCAAAAGGGATCAATAGTACAGGATTAAATCATCATTTGTTTCAGTGAAACAAGCTGCTGTATCGCCTCAGGCTTCTCAACCCTCCTTTTTCATATTACGAATCAGTCGGTTCCAAAAAGCACACTCAGGTTTTACTGAGGGAGGCTGGTGCATTAGAGGAAATGAGGCAATGCAGCTCCAACCTCAGCCAGCTTTCACGTGCCCTGCCTTCTCACTTGCATCCAGTCCAGGGGGTGGCGCTGTCACCTTCCTTCTCCTCCTTAGTTTCAGTGTTTCCCCTTGTGCAAGTCAGCAGGGATGGGGCGGATGGATGACAAAACTAGGACTGGTTGGCTCTACCTGTCATTGGCTCTAGCGCCCCCTACTGTTGGCCTCCCAGCTCTCTCACCTACCAATACCAATGGACATCAGCCACACAGGTAGGAAGTATGTGAGCCATTACAAACCAGGGTGCTACTTAGGGCAAAGCGGACTGCCTCTCCTGTTTCCTCCCTTCTCCCTATCACACACAGACCAGTGTTTCATATCACACGTGATTACCCCAGAATTCACCCCACTGCCACCCCACTCGGTCCCAGCAAGCACAGTGCTGCCTCTGACCCACACCATGGCTGTTCAGTGGGGCAGCGAGAAGAGGACGGCAGCCTTCTGTCAACTTTCTTGAGCTCACTTGTCTTAGGACCTAAGCCGCTGCCTGTTAAATTAAAAGCTTGCTTTCAGTCATTAAACAAGCGTCCCCCATAATAGAACCTGCTCAACAGCTAACTCTGTTCCTTTACATAAGCCAAAATTCATGGGGCGGTTTGGGTTTTTTTATTGTATTAACAGTGAAAAATATTTTCCCCCACATAATGGTGCAAATAAGGTACAAAGCTATAAAGTAACCATTAACGCAAATGCATATTATGATTGTCTTAATTACATGCATTGCTTTTCTTTTTCCTAGGCAACTTTTAAAGGTTGGATGGAAATTATGTATGCTGCGGTGGATTCACGAGAGGTGGGCTGCTCAGATAAAGGACTTTTGTCTACTAACGTCTTGCATTATTTTATTTCTTTGTATGGTGTTTGAACCAGTGTCTCCTGCTTGCCGGTAATGTACACAATCTACTGGGAAGTTCTCCTGCAAAGCCCCCATCAAAATAAATGGGAGCTGCACAGAAAAGCCAAGGTGACTCATTCTGAGCACCCTACATTGTACTAAAAGGGGAGCTTCATGAGTGATGCTCATTGATGAGGCTTGTGCAGAAGATTTTTCCAGTGAATCATTCTCACTTCTGCTCATGTTTTAGCATCAATTTGGACTTTTCTTCTTATTTTTTTTTGATGATGTGTGTTATTTAGTTTACTACTTAATCATGCTTTAATTGGCAACTAGAAACACCAAAGTCCCTCCCTTGATAATGGATAAAAAGATCTTGCAAAAATATAGTGAGCCTTGAAATTTGGACTGTTTGAGCCATTAACTCCTTTTTTAACAGAAGAGACACATTAAATGCAATTAGCCCCATCAGAAGAAATAGCCTTCAAGCTAACGTAATTAAAACTCAGTTCACACAACAAAGGTGCATACACTCTTCATGTGGAAATAGAAGTGCCCACTGGCTCGGGCCCTCCACCAACTCCCAACTGAAGGTCGAGACATTCATGATGAGCAAATACTGTCATCTGAAAAAAAGTTTTTAAAGTAATTCTTTTCAGATGTCGTAGGCTATGCAGTAGGTGAGGCTTGGTATCCACCTAGCAGCCAAATAATTTCTCTGAGCTGCATAGAATGTGTTGTGCATTTCAAAGGAGGAAACGCACACCTTGGTTTTAGTTTAGGATGCCAGTGGACATTCATCACCCTTTCTTTGTTTTCTCCATGTCGCTTTTTTTTTTTTTTTTTTTGCAGCGTGAGGAGCAGCCCGTCTGGGAATATAACTTGTACATGTACCTCTACTTTGTGATCTTTATCATCTTTGGCTCCTTCTTCACTCTGAATCTCTTCATCGGTGTTATCATTGACAATTTCAATCAGCAAAAGAAAAAGATAAGTAACACCTTGTCGACCAGGCAGCCGTGAGTTGTGGAAGGGGGGCAGGGATGTCCATAGCTCAGTGGTGGACCACAGACTTTGCCCAATGGCCAATCCCTGCCGTCTCTAGTTAGAAGCATCAGGTAGCAGGTAGACCTCCGCCTGAAAGACACAAGAGCCCTGCAGCTGGGGCAAGCCAATGATCCATCTAGTCCAGCATCCCTTTCTTACATTGGCCAATCAGATGCCCATTATGAGAAGCCTGAAAGCAGGACCTGAGTGCGCAATGGTGCAAGACTGCCAGGACAGTGATTGGGTAGGGTTCCCCCTCCCCCTTGTGATTTGGTTAATTCTTAGAGGCCAGAGGAGTTGTCCATCCAGCCCATGATGGTCTACTTCAACCAGCCATGGCTCTCCAGAGTCTCCTCCTTCTCCCTGATCCTTCTAGCTATGTCAGAGATGTCAGAGATTGAACCTGAGGGCACCTTCTGTGTTCAATGCAAGTGTTCTGCCATTGAGCTGTGGGCTTCTCCCTGTCACCTGTTTTCATTCAACTGCTGGTCAGTATGTTGTGATGCACCTCTTCCCAAACAAAATACTCAGAAGGGAAAAGACAAAGTCAGTGAGCAGCATCTCCTGAAGTTTGCACAAACGACCAAAGTGGACCACAAAAAAAGGAAAGGAAAGAGGTTATATAATGACTTCCATTGTGCAAAACGGTAACAATGAAAGGATGGAGGAAATGCAATCAAGCACTCAGCTAATTGTATGTAGCTATTCCAAAATTGAAATAAACATGGAAATCTTGTGGCCAGTACATGGTCCAAGCCATACTACCCTGAGCTCCTTGGAGAACAGGTGCATATAAGTGCAATAAATAAATCACTGCTGAATAAAAATGAATTCTAATCTGGTTCTAAAAAATGCTGGCCCAATAATCAGTTCCTCCTCTTAGGATGGAGGAATGAACCTGTCAGTTTTGGTTTCTCTCCCTTTCTGTTTTCCAGTCTAACATTCAGTTCACCAAATTTCCCATATGTTTGCAATTTCCATACCGCCCCCGTCAAGTCCTCATGAAAATTCATCAGCATTTTGCCATTCATTTCTCCTAATGTGGGGTGTATGGGGTGTTAGGGGAGGGGTGGTAGATCTGGTGGGGGACACATCCTTCCTTCTGTGGTCCCTACCCTGCACTCATAGAAGAAAAACTCTTATCTTAAACCTCTGCTGCCTTGTGGGATGTATTCAGGAGATGAAAAGGCTAAGGAGTAAACCCAATACAAATCTGGAGTGGAGTCCCTAAGATGCTTAGATGGCGTCTTCTATGTCTCCTCCTGGCATTTCCTACAGCCAAGCTGGTGTCAAACATCTTGCTTTCCTTTGGACCACACCAACACGGCCGAGAGGGGGGTCTTGTCTTCTGGGCAGCCCAGGACCTCCATACACACAGCCCAGGCTTGTGCTTCAGAGTAGTCACTTCAGTGCTGCTGATGCAACAGTTTGACTTCACCCCAGAGGCGCACACCATTTTCTCTTGCGACAGATGGATGCCAGCAACAATCTCTTAATGTGCATATTTTGTATTCAATTTAGCCTTCCGGCAATATTTCCCTTAATACAATGAGTTTTTGTGTATTATTTTCACCAATAATGTGCATTTTTATGTGCACTTCCTTCTCATACACCCATTTTGGGGGCTGGAAAACTGCATTTCAAAATTTAGAGAAGTTTGCATCTTGAAGGAGAGCTGAGCTTGAGTTTATGTATTGCTCTGGGAAGTGTGATTTAGTCACAGACTAACCCCTCTGGTGATATTTCTCGTGGAATTTCATGGTCATCCGCTGGCTGATAACTGATAAGGCAGATAGCACTTCTTCAATTCCATGGAGCTGTTGAATTTTGGTAGGATCAATATCTCAGTAAAAATGATTAACAAACTTTCTTCGGGATACCTACACACAGTTTCAATTCTTACTGAAATATACCGGTAATTAGATAGCTTAATGATTGCTACCAAGAATGGAGGGGAAGGAAGGGAAGGAAATGGAGACCTTCAGTCATTAAAAATGGTTTTGCTTTCCACAAACAGCCATTTCTGCCATCCAAATTAATGTTAGTTTTATCTCCCTATACTTAGGTGGACAAGACATCTTTATGACGGAGGAACAGAAAAAATATTACAATGCCATGAAAAAACTGGGATCCAAGAAACCCCAAAAACCCATCCCACGGCCAGTGGTGAGGCATTCTGTGGATTTCTTTAGCTGATACCAACTGACCCCTTCAGAAAAATGTCCACCAGAATCGTATCCATTGTAGTTATTTATATATTACACATATTTTTACACAAGCATCCTGTCATATTTCTAGAGAGGTTTATAGCACCAATCAAGGGAAAAAAAGTTTGTAAATTGAGCTCTATTAAAATATTTTGGAGTTTTCCCATTGAATTGAATGGAAAGTGTTTGGGATAGGGCACTCTGTCACCTAAAAACATGATGCTATTCTTCCATTCCAAAGTATGCTTTGGACCAACACTGCGGTCCCCCTCTGAGTGTCTTCTGGTGGTTCCCTCACTGCAAGAAACAAAGGTACAGGGAACCAGGCAGAGGGCCTTCTTGGTAGTGGCACCTGCCCTGTGGAACACCCTCCCTTCAGAAGTCAAGGAGATAAAGAACTATATAACTTGTAGAAGACATCTGAAGGCAGCCCTGTACTGGGAAGTTTTTAATGTTGGATGTTTTATATGTGCTGTGGGCCGCCCAGAGTGGCTGGGGAGGCCCAGCCAGATGGGTGGGATATTATTATTATTATTATTATTATTATTATTATTATTATTATTATTATTATTTTCAAATTGCATGGTAGGGTTGTCCACCCTGTGACTTGCCACCTCTGGGGCCAACAACTGCTTCAACAAACAAATATTTGAGGCAGCTGCTAGGACCACAGTCCTCCTGACCACTGCCACACTTTCATATGGTGCTGTGCAAGTGTGAACACTTACAGGAGCTGGTGACAAGGAGGGGTGGTACTGCAGACCTGGCCTCCTGGCAGGGGCACCACTACCATGTACCAGAACAGAGAGCGGGTGGAGAAGGAACACCAGCAGAAGCGCAGAACTGGCTCCACCAGGGCTCCCAAACTGCCTGATGTCACTGCCACTCAACCCTGACCCTGCACAGTCCCTAGACTTGCCAGTTATACTGTTGTCAGGAGCCCACCACTGTGTGCATAGGCGGCCCTCCCTGCCGGCCACTGCTGAACACCCAAACTGCATAAAAGTTCCATTTCAGGCCCAAATAGGTGCAAACATATGGCGCTATCTGAGTTGGCTGCTTTGATCTATTGCAGCCAACTCAGATAGCGCCATATGTTTGCACCTATTTGGGCCTGAAATGGCCCAAATAGGTGCAAAAATATTTGGGCCTGCCCCGTACCCTATAAAAAAGCATTATTCAGAGTAGTAGTTTGCACGACTCACTAATAATGACACAATAAAATTCAAAACAGTAACAGTTAAATGCAGATTTATTCAAAATCCAATCAAAACTATTCAGTTTAACTGATGAGCTTGATTCAGGGATATTAGCTTTTTGAAGTCTGATAGTCATTTGTACCTTCAGCACCGCCTGCCCCCCCCCGCCACTCCCTTATCTCTTGGTAACCCCCTAGGTAACCCCCACACACCATGCCATACCACCCACTTTGGGAACCACTGATCTAACGTGTCTTTCTAATATCTCCAGAACAAGTATCAAGGCTTCATTTTTGATGCCGTCTTGAATCAAGCCTTTGATGTCTGCATCATGCTCCTCATCTGCCTCAACATGGTCACCATGATGGTGGAAACGGATGACCAGAGCCCAGAAAAAGTGAACATCCTTTACAAAATCAACATGGTCTTTGTTGCCATCTTCACTGCAGAGTGCATATTAAAAATGGTGGCTCTGAGGCACTACTATTTCACCAACGGGTGGAACATTTTTGATTTTGTCGTCGTAATTCTATCAATAGTGGGTAAGTCAAACCCTCAACAAATACAGAATTTGGAGTGGTGGATTTGCCTAGATCCACGTGGCCTGATTGGCTTCAAGGGGTAAACCACATGTGAATATTTCTTGGGAGCAGTGACACGTTGGAGCATGCCGACTCTTCTTTGGCCTACTCCAGTGTGTCTGCAGCACATCTGTATAGCAGTTCATGGCCTCTGGGCTTAACTCATGGTGCAGAAGACCCACCTGTGCTGTTGGTTTCCTCTGCAGCGTTTTAGATCACAGGTTACTCAACAGGATGGATGTAAGGGAGCCATGAGCTAGCTACCAATGGCTATTAGTCATGCTGGCTATACGCTGCCTCCAGGATCAGAAGCACTATCCTGGGAAAGAACAGTGGGAGAGGGCTATGCTTATGCCCTGGCCACTGTAGGAAGGAGGTAAAAGGTAAAGATAAAGGGACCCCTGACCATTAGGTCCAGTCGTGACCGACTCTGGGGTTGCGGCGCTCATCTCGCTTTATTGGCCGAGGGAGCCGGTGTACAGCTTCCGGGTCATGTGGCCAGCATGACTAAGCCGCTTCTGGCGAACCAGAGCAGCGCACGGAAACGCTGTTTACCTTCCCTCCGGAGTGGTACCTATTTATCTACTTGCACTTTGACGTGCTTTTGAACTGCTAGGTTGGCAGGAGCAGGGACAGAGCAACGGGAGGATGCTGGCTTAAATAGACCCTTGGTCTGATCCAGCAGAACTCTTCTTGGGTTTATGAACAAGCCTCCTGGTATCCCAAGGGCAACGTGGTAAGATGCCCCTGCCTGTGTGTATCGAGGCCCCCAAAGGAAGGAAAGAAGGGATGCAAGAGCTCAACTAAGCTCTGTGCGGATCCTTACTCGCATACTCAGTTGAGCTTCAGCAGGGATGTCCCATGCCCTTAACTGGTAAACCTGAGATGCTACTTTCAACCAAAACGCTATAACCTTTGCTAGTTCACTAACTGGTTATTCCCTTTCCCCCCCAAGGCTCTGTACTTTCTGACATCATCCAGAAATACTTCTTCTCCCCTACCCTCTTCAGAGTCATTCGCTTGGCTCGGATTGGCCGGATCCTGAGACTTATAAGAGGGGCCAAAGGAATCCGAACTCTTCTCTTTGCCTTAATGATGTCCCTCCCTGCGTTGTTCAACATCGGCCTCCTGCTTTTCCTGGTCATGTTCATTTATGCCATTTTCGGCATGGCCAACTTTGCCTACGTTAAGCAAGAGCACGGGATCGACGACATGTTCAACTTCCAGACGTTTCCCAACAGCATGCTCTGTCTCTTCCAAATCACTACATCCGCCGGCTGGGATGGTCTCCTCAGCCCCATTTTGAACACCGGGCCGCCATATTGTGATCCAAGCCATATCAACACAAATGGCTCGAGGGGAAACTGTGGCAGCCCCGCAGTGGGAATTCTGTTCTTTGTTACTTATATCATTATATCCTTTCTCATTGTTGTAAACATGTACATAGCTATTATTTTAGAGAACTTCAGTGTCGCTACTGAAGAGAGCACAGAGCCTCTAAGCGAGGACGACTTTGATATGTTTTATGAAATATGGGAGAAATTTGACCCCGAAGCCACTCAGTTTATTGAGTACGCCGCGCTTTCCAACTTCGCGGACGCTCTGTCAGAACCTTTACGCATTGCGAAACCAAATAAGATCAAGCTCATAGCTATGGACCTCCCCATGGTGAGTGGGGACAGGATCCATTGCTTAGATATTTTGTTTGCTTTCACCAAAAGAGTGCTGGGGGAGTCTGGGGAGATGGACGCCCTCAAGATACAGATGGAGGAGAAATTCATGGCTGCCAACCCCTCGAAGATTTCTTACGAACCCATCACAACCACGCTCAGGCGGAAACAGGAAGAAATTTCTGCCATCGTCATTCAGAGAGCCTACAGGAGCCATCTCTTCCAACGCACCCTCAAGCAGGCCTCCTTCCTATACCGCCAAAAAGCCTGCCACCTAGGGGAGGACGCTCCCGAGAGGGAAGGCCTCATTGCGTTCATGATGAGCGAGAACTATGGGAGGCCGATAAACAAGTCAGAAACTCTGTCCTCCACCTCCTTCCCTCCTTCCTACGACAGCGTCACCAGGGGCACCAGCGACAACTTCCAGCTAAGGTTGACCGACTCTAGCAAAAGCGACGAGCATCTAGACGACCAGCTGTCGCCCGACAGAGACAAAGAGTCGATGGTTTAAAAAAATATATATTGAGTTTTTCATTTAGGACACTTTAAGAATATTGTTTACAGAATGTAACCACACAACAGTTGAAGCAGCCTTGTTAAACATTAGTTGCAAAGGACGCAGGAAGGGAGGTCAGCCCTGCAGCAGGGTATGTCAAGGCGTTGGCAGACGTCTAACCTTTGACCCTTCTCTTTCCAACTTTGCTCAATGTTTATATTTCTATATGCACAGGGAGGGGTCGGGGCGGGGGCCGGGGGGGTTCCAGCACAAAGTCCTGGGGCTGTCCTAGCAGTGGTGTGTTTATGGAGACGCTAGACTGTAACACAGTAAGTACTTTATAACTATACACAGATAAAACCTGACCGCATACTTTTCATTTTAAGGTCTTACTTATATTAGTGCGTTTACTTACGGCAATGTATGACCTTGCATTCTATAATAAGAGAGTGAGGGTGAAGAGGAAAAGAGAGAGAGAGAGAGAGAGAGAGAGAGAGAGAGAGAGAGATGGGTGGAGGAATCACGTAGCTCCCGTAGCAGCAATGTAACACTTATTGTATATGTTGTGAATGGTCTTTCATAAATTTATTATATTTGATATTTTTTTACTTAAAATATATATAAATATATATAAATATAAATATAAAATTGTCTCCTTTTCCACGGAGATTGATGATGCTAACGTTCTACGTGATGAACTAGGAACCAGAGATGCCGCCCCCCCCCCAAAAAAAATGACGGGAGTTGCTTGCCGAGAAAATTAGGTTGCAAGGCAAAATACTGAGTCAGCAACATTTCTAACCTTGTATTACCACAGAGACACCCGCCTGGAATCATCAGCCGCTTCCTGGCAGTTGATAACCAAGGGAGCACAGAAGGAAGGAAGTGACGTCACATAAAGCAAGACATGGGTTGCATTTTATTTTTATTTTTGTTCTATCCTGCAGGATATTAGACACTAATGGATTCTGCTTGTAAACCTGCCAATAAAAGCACTATTTTTTTACCATGCTTCAAGAATCTGCTTTGCTTCCAGCAAGGGATCTGCTCCGACTCCTTTTCTATATATATATATAAAAAGGCTCCTGGCTTTCGAAAGTTGTCCCCCTCGCCCCCCAAAACGCAGTACCATGCGGCCCAGACGCTGTCAAAGTGACCGGCTGCTGGGATCTGTTTTCACCGATAATGCCGTTTCAAGCTGAACAAGCTTCGAGTTCATCAGCATTAAATAGTGTTGTTTTTATGAGACCAGACTGGTTAACTGATGTGGAAGAACTGCTATTGACAGCATAAGAGGAGAATTGCCTAAGGAGGTTAAACAAAGGGTTCCTCAACGGCGCAACAGAGGCAGGCTCTCCCCACGTTAAGGAAGTACCATATGAGATTCCCCCGAGTGTAACGAAACGACATCTGGCAATTTTGAGGGCAAAACACCTAATTATAAGGCTGATCCCTGCCCTCCGCCCACTGCTCTGAAATTTGATCACTGCGGTTCATTCTAGACATGGTGATATGTGGTGTGATAACTGGGTCCCCAACTGTCTGATGCTGCCTGCTTCTCGTGCTCCTCCATCTTGTCTGAAATGAACCGAGTGCTTCTAAATATAGCATGCAGTTATGTAATTGTGATGACTTTGTGAAAAAGATTAGAACAATTAATCAAGGATAAGAACATTCACAGCAGGGACAGGGGATCTATGGCTCTCCATATGTTGGACTATGATTCCCATCGTCCCTGGCAAAAACTCCAGGACTAAACATTGCCTTAATTCCTTAACTGTGGCGCCACCACAGAGGAGGCCGTGTCTTATGTTGCCCAGAACTGGATTAAGACCTTTAGAGGCCCAAAGCAAACCTTTTGCTGCCATCACATACATCTAATTCAAATATATATAATAATAACCTGTAACATAAATTGTTAGGGACACGGGTGGCGCTGTGGGTTAAACCACGGAGCCTAGGGCTTGCCAATCAGAAGGTCAGCGGTTCGAATCCCCGCGACGGGGTGAGCTCCCGTTGCTCGGTCCCTGCTCCTGCCAACCTAGCAGTCAATGTGCAAGTAGATAAATAGGTACCACTCCGGCGGGAAGGTAAACGGCATTTCCGTGCACTGCTCTGGTTCGCCAGAAGCGGCTTAGTCATGCTGGCCACATGACCCAGAAGCTGTACACTGGCTCCCTCGGCTAATAAAGCGAGATGAGCACCGCAACCCCAGAGTCAGCCACGACTGGACCTAATGGTCAGGGGTCCCTTTACCTTTAACATAAATTGTTATTTTTAAAATGAAACAAAACCTACAGTACGATGGAAAATGATGTTTCATTTTCTGTACTTCCACTTTAGTTATATTTTTTTAAAAATCTACTTTTCCTGATTGCAAAGTCTTTGATCAGATCCTCAAAACTAATCTTACATAACACATCTGCTTCTATACTTAGTAGAGATAAGGCATCCATCCTGCGTTGTTACACAGTTGTTCTGTTGGGATTTTTAATATACTCGAACAGAGAAAATGAATGTGGCCAGTAATTTGAAAAATCCAACAAAGGGAAATTTATGCGGTGCCCCCCTTCCCTTGATGCCCTAAGCATGTGCTTATTTTGCTTAATGGTTAATCCAGCCCTGATGTCACAACTCAAAACATTTCCTCCGGACCTACAAGACAAAAGGTCTCCTAGAACCAGGCAGGCTAATACTGGAAGAGGCATTCTGTAGAACAGAAAACAAAACACCATTTGCTGTCTGAAACACACATACGTGAGCCCTATTCTTGCATGACTCGTGTAGGGCCTTGCCATTTCAACAAAGACACAGGACCACACTTTTAGCCCTGCTCCTAAAATGGTTGCATTCTGCAACAGCCCATCCAGTGTGAAATTCCAACACCTGAACAATTAAGCCACCTTGGGTCATTGGGTTCCACTCAGCATAAGGCAGTTTCAGATCGTACAACTGCAAAAACAGGATTGTAACAGAGGCTACAATAAGTAGGGCACAAAATACCTGCTGTAAAAAAATAATACTACTAAAAACTGCTGTAAGCCGTTCATTTGCCTTTTCTGCAGCTGTTTGCAAACTTTGCCACCTTCAGGATAAATGAGTCACAGCCATAGCACTGGATGAGAAGGAGAGCCTAAGACATCTTTGCTGCCTGAGGTGGAACAGCAAATGATGCTTTTCCCCGGTCCCCAAGCCAAGGTGCTTGGTGCCCATAGGCCAAGGCACAGTCAAGTGAGACAAACAATCCCAGAAGCACCTATTTCCACTCCCTGGCAGTAAAAACACAGTCATAATAAATTAAAGAACTCACAGCGTCCTGCCCTTTCATGTCACCCAAAATTAGCTGCCTGAGATAGTTGCCACGCTTATCCTAAAATGGACCAGCCCTGTTGCCTAGACAACCAGGTGGCCCTATCACTTCCCCTGCGGTGATCCAACTCATGGCACTGACTGGGAAGAGAGGAATGGGCCTCATGGGTGTCTAGGCAATGAAATGATGCACTCCCTTTCTCCTGTGAACTTTGGCACTTTTTGGCAAAAAAAACCCACAACACAACCATATTGAGGAAAGTGAGACAAACTTCACAGCCCCCAATGAGGCTGTGAAACTTATATTTTGGCTAACCATAAGCTGATACTGCAGGGACGCGGGTGGCACTGTGGGTAAAAGCCTCAGTGCCTAGGACTTGCCGATCGAAAGGTTGGCGGTTCGAATCCCCGCGTCGGGGTGAGCTCCCGTTGCTCGGTCCCAGCGCCTGCCAACCTAGCAGTTCGAAAGCACCCCCGGGTGCAAGTAGATAAATAGGGACCGCTTACTAGCAGGAAGGTAAACGGCGTTCTGTGTGCTGCGCTGGCTCGCCAGATGCAGCTTGTCACGCTGGCCACGTGACCCGGAAGTGTCTGCGGACAGCGCTGGCTCCCGGCCTCTAGAGTGAGATGAGCGCACAACCCTAGAGTCTGTCAAGACTGGTCCGTATGGGCAGGAGTACCTTTACCTTTACCTTAAGCTGATACTGCAGAACCGCAAACACTGTTTTGCATCCAGGAAATGGAGATTTGATTACATCCTTTTATGATCTGGATACCTTTAGAAGAGGACGCTTTTCTGGTGCCAAATGACCTGGCTGTCCCAAAAGCTGCAGCAATACCTTCGTGTCTTCTTCTGCAGCTAAATGCAGACCGCTATGGCTCTTGCATCTTAAGAGAAGGTGAATCAATGAATCCTTCTCAGGTAACCCTTTTATCAGGAGGTTAATTGCTACACTTGAAAAAGCTTGCTCTCAAGTGTGTGGTATGATCTATAGAAAGACTTCCATTAATTTTAGGTCACATTAAACTGAGCTTGTGAAGGATTCCCTCTCCCCTACCCCGGCCCCTACTCTCCAGTTGCCCCTTCTGGAGGTGGGGCTGTGGAAGGAGGAAGCAATGCAGAGCTGGGGCCTTGTCGAGATTTCAGGAGTCTGATCTTCTCTTGCTCAACAGAGCCAAAGGGGCCATAAAGCAATAGTCCCAGTTCAAACCAGCAGCCTAGCAAAAGCAAGCAATTGTGAATATATTTCAAGAGCAGCAATGAGGAAGCTAAGAAAGGACCTGCAGGATCAGACCAAATATCAACCTACTCCAGCACTGTGACTCCTTCAGTGGTCAACCTGGAGCCCCTGGGAAGGCCCCAGGCAAGACTGGTCCCTCTCCCGTCTGGGTTTCCCACCAACAGGGGTTCGGAGGCACCCTTGCAACGGGGACCTGCAACCAGAAATCGTTGCAACCAAGCTCTCCATCGGAGATAGGCCACAACAACTCATGACTCGACAAGCTCGGCGCAAATCCCTGGTTGTGCTTTGTGACCTGTCAGATAGTGTATGTGTTAAATAAGGAGCGCGGGGGGTGTGTGTGTGTGAGGCTGTGGAAACCGAACAGCCGTTGGCAGAGAGCAAACACAAAATAATAATAATCCTCCAACGGTGCTGATAGCCCCAGGGTGACGAGTGAAGGTGCCGGACTGCAGAGCAGTAGGTAAGCTTTTGTCAGGTCCTCAGCGTGAGCTATTTTTGCAGCCTGACAAGCCAGGAGCTCAAGTAACTTCACATGCCCTGGGCTTGGACTAGTGCTGCGGGAGTGTGTGAGGAATCAATGCCATGCTTGAAAGGACAGTCATTCTTCCCCATGCTCTTTGTACTTGGCACATTCACCCAGGTGCAGAGGTCCTCTTAGGCCTCCATTTCTCACTGGGTTGGACTTTCCCATTCATATCACAAAGCTTACACAGCGATTAGATTGCATGCATTCGTGCTGATTTGCTTGCAGGGAGGTTACATGATGAGCATTCATCCCGATTTCATTGTGGGGTTTTTTATGTCTTCCCACAAATCCTTCACAATTCCCTCACATTTCCTGCCACTTTCTTAACCGTAAAAAAATAATAAAAATTGTTTATTTTGAAAGTGGATTTGTCACAGTAACAGGGAGAGCTTTACTCCACTTTAATTGTGAAAACCTACATTTCTGCTATATGCTTGAATCTCTCCGGCAAAATAGTGACGGTCTGCAGGCACCCTCAGTCTGGCAGCCATGCTGCAGACATGCCTCCGCCTCCGTAACATGTTCCAGCATCCTCTGCAATGCGCTGTGGGGCCATCATGCGCGGCAGACAGCATGCTTGGCCACCAAACACATGTAAAAGAGGCAGACCCAGTCCTTGAGATGTGGCCTGTAGTCCTTGCCCTGCAAAAATGCTACATGTAACACAACAGGCTAAATAAAAGACCCCCTTCCATTAGGAAGGGTGCAATTTCCCCCTCCCCGATCCCAGTCACATGGCCCACTTTTATAGCTATGCCCCAGTCCTGAATGTCTTTGTGCTTAAAAGCCACACACCGGAGGCACTTTGCCAGCGGATCTGAGTCAGCTACTGTGACTCACCCGCATATTTGTACAGACGACCTGGGTCTTCTCCTAGCAAGTGGCTGGTTTTGCTCATCACGGATACGGGCAAGGGTTTTTGTCCCAAGCAC